AGTGGAATCTTGGCTGAAAGCAGAGTACTGGAAAGACATCTATTTATACAAAGGCTTTTGACTGTGTGAATCATAACACTTGATCATGCTCTTAGGAAACTTACACAAAGACCAGGAAGGTGTCTGAACAATACCAAGAAGTTATCTGAACAGAGCAAGGGGACACTGCATGGCTCATCAAGAATGGAGTGTGTCAGGGATACATCCTTTATCTTTTCTGCCTATATGTTGAACAGGTCGCTTAAGAAGCTGGGCTTTATAAAGAATAATGAGGCATGACGATTGGAAGACAACTCACCAACAACCTATGTTAAGATGACACAACCTTGCTTGCCAAAAGTGAGAAGGACTTGAAGTACTTGCTGCAGAAGATCAAGGACCACAGTCTTCAGTATGAATTACGTCTCAAAATGAAGGAAACAAATATCCTCACCACTAGGTGAATAGGCAGCATCATGAAAGATGGAGAAAGGATTGAAATTGTTAGTATTTTCATTTTGCTTGGATCCACAATCAACATTCTTGGCACCAGCAGTCAGTAAATAAAAAGTTGCACTGAGAAAATCTGCTGTTAAGTACCTCTCTAGAGTACTAAAGTGCAACGATGTCAGTCAAAAGACAAGGTACACCTGATCCAAGCCCTGCCCTTCTGAATTAGATGATAGGACATCTGAAAGCTGGACAATGACTAAAGATGACAGAAGAAGAATTGATGTCTTGGAGTTGTGATGCCGGTGAAGAGTATTAAACGTACCATGGATTGTCAAGAGAACAAAATGGAGAAAGTGAAACAGGAAGATCCTTGGAAGCAAGAATAGTGAAAGTGCATCTCACTTTGGCCAGGTTGTCAGGACGGGCCAGTCCTTGGAGGAGGACATTATGCTTGGAAGGGTAGAAGGTGAGAGTAGACGAGGAAGACCCTGAATGAGTTGAACTGACACAATGACTGCATCAATGGGGTCAGATGTGCTGGAGATGTTGAAGTTGGCAAAGAGAGAGCAAGGTTCAGAGTGCTTATTCATAGGCTCACTATGAGATGTAGTTGACACAAGCTACATTATACAGCAGCAACAACACCATTTAGGACACTAGTATAATGGCGTCCTTCCTTCATTACTCTCATTTTACCCATAGGAATGAAAAAGATTCAAATTACAAATTTATATAAAATAGCTACTTATTGATTATAAAAATGAAAGGGGATCAACATTCTTTCTGGCTAAAAGTACTGCAATAATGAAATGCATCAAGAAAAATAATTGTTAAACAATTACTTAAATTATAAACAGTTTTAAATTGTTAAAAAAGCCAATTATTTTCAAAGGACCAGGTCACCAGTTCAAAAAACGTATAAGATTAATTGTATTAACTAAATGTATCATTCATGTTACAATTAAATATCTTCATTTTATTTTAAAGTTATAGAGCATAAGCATCACTAGAATTTAAGACCTAATAAGGGCAGTAGCTTACTACTAATCACCAAAGGCCTTTTCAACTTCAATGCTATACAGTCAGAACTGACCCACAGCTGACCTTCTGGTGGGTTTCCAGAGGCTACAAATTGCACAGAAGGAGATCACTCATCTATACTGTGGAGCAGCTAGCGGACTGGAATCACCTGCTTTTAGGTTGGTAGCACAATTCCTAACTCACCAAAGCTCCCTAAACAAGGGACTAGGACAGTATAAACAATATGGAGGCACTCAATTTAGGAAAAAAACAGAAACCAAAATACACACAAACATTACATGGCAAAATTTAGCATAAATTTTTTTCCCCTCAAAAATTGTTTTGTTTTGTGGTTTTTCTCTCGCGGCGGTACCCCCCCCAAAAAAATTGTTACCCACAGACTTTTATCTGAAGGATGGCAAAATTCATAAGGATTCTGGGAGCTGATAAAACTCAAACTCATTGTTGTTGGGTCAGAACCGACCCATAGAAGATCTTCCATTGCCTGTAAATCACATAGGAGACAGCTCACCTTTCTCTGGCACAGCATCTGGAGGATTCAAACCAGAGTGGCCTTTAGATTAGCAGCATAACTCTCTACAGACTATGTCACAAGAGCTCCCTCTGGGCCCTCACAAGCTGGCATAGTTATGTTTGCTGGGCCTGTCAATATTTTTCACATGAACTATATGAGAAAGTTCAAACTGCTTGTAGGGTCAGTCTAGACTGTATACTGCTAAGATGCCGAACAGGTTTTGTGGGACTTCCAGATTAAGGAAGGTTTTCAGAAAAAAAGTCTGGTGATCTATTTGTAAAATCAACCATTAAAACCTCTGTAGACAAGAACAAAAGCAAAAATCCCTATGGAACACAATGTAGGAATAGGCAGCATTTTGTTTTGTTGATCACAGGATAGCCATGAATTGGGAGTGACTTGACAGCAGCTGATAATAAAAACTATGAAGGAAAATGGGAATAAAATGACATGTAACTAAAGTCTTAAGCATCTAATAATATTCTGTCTGCCCAACACAGGAAAAATGCTTACTACTTTAAAAAATACTTTCATTTTATATTTACAACAGCCTTGTGAGGTAGGTCTCCAAGTCACGAATAAGGAAATAGAGCCTCAGAATTTAAGTCCAAAGCAGCATAAAGATAGTGACAAAATTAGAAGGTCATGATTTCTCTCTCTCAAAATCCTGAGCTTTTCTGACTATATTACCAAGTACCTAAACCAGTAGTTTCAACCATATATATATATAAAAATCTAGAAAACCTAGGTCTTATCCTTCAGGTATTTGTTATCTAATTGATCTTATGAGAGCCCATACTTTAAATTTTAACTATCTTAAAATACTTCCCAGGCATTTTAATGTGGAGTCAGGTTTCAACCCTGAATGCTAAATGCTTTTATTGCAGAATTATTCACAATAGTCAAAAGATGAAAACAGCCTAAATGTCCATCAACAGATGAACAAAAATATGGTACAGATACAGCACAGAATATTACTCATCTATAAAGAGAAACAAAGTTCTGTACCATGTTGTACATTCTACAACATGGATGGAACTAAAAACATATGCTCAGTAAAGCATGTCAGATACAAACATCATATGATCCCACTTAAAAGGAAATACCTAGAACAGGCAAATGTAATCAAAGTTTCTTAATGGTTACCAATGGCAAAGAGGGAATGAAGGAGGAAAGGGTAAGGATCTGTTTATAGTGATAAAAAACTTTGGCAACTAATTTTATATTGCATGTATGTGTGGTGTTGAAAAGGCAAGTTTTCATAACACATTAACATGTAAAATATAATTTTTAAATACGTATTTTTATACACAAATGTTGTATTGCTTTGTGCCATCGAGGTAGAACTGACTCATAGCTGAGCTGACCCTTCAGCTGGTTTTCAGGGGATGGTAAATCACAGGGGAGGAGACTGATCACCTTTCTCCCAAGGAGCAGCTGATGGATTTGAGCCACATATTTTAGGCTTACTAAAGGTACTTGTAATTTAAAGTTATATAAATTGGCATCAATTTGACACAACTGAACCAACCTCTATGAGAAAGAAATTCTTCATTACAATCAGCTTCACTTGCTGTATGCCTAGTTTGTAAATCTCTGAAAAGCTTCCAAGTCTTTTCTTGCACTAAAGTGACAAATAAGAACTACATGAACTTGTTTCAACTTGCCTATAAATCTGACTTAGACATCAATCTTGTTCAAACCTTGCCTATATAAAGGAAGAAGTAGTCAATACAATCTCAGACTGCTGACCCGGAAGAAGGGGAGCTCTGGTGGCCTAGTAGGTAGGGAGTTTACCCTTCCAGCCCAAAGGCAGGCGGTTTGAATACAACAGCCACTCCTCTGGACAAAGATGGGCAATATGATCCCTTGCAATTTGCAGATGCTGTAGGCTTGCTAGATTGGCTCAATTTATGAGCAAACTGAAACAGAGTTGGGTTAAACTCTGCTAAGCCCCATTGAAAAAAAGTTAGTGGCATGGTCACCTACCATCTCAGATAGCTCAAGATCCTAAGCTGCAAGAGAAATGGTTATGTCAATGTAGGTGGAGAGAATACTCTTGACTGATCCTTGTGCTAAGTGTGCCATTTCACTGGTTATAATTTCAAGCAAAGTCCTTCTTTTACCATTTTACAGTTGGAATTTAGCACAAAGCGCCGTACCACCCGAACAGGGTGGCAAGTGGGGACTATAAGAGTCCCACAAACATTATGGATATACTGGATATACTCAGAAGACTAAAGAAAAATGAATATTGTTCATCTCCAGAAAAATCACGGTAGAGCCCATGAACTAGCGTTTGAACAGCAGAGGGCAGTGAACCTGACCACACTAGAGTTTTAAAGACTGGAGCCCCCCAAAATGGGCAACTGGTCTCAGTATCGGCTGAAACTTGCTCAGTGAACTGAGGAATCGTAGAGGATTCCAACAGTTCAGCGTCGGACTCGTGTGGCTGTTTTCCATAACCTCTGCTCGGGTTTGACCGTTAGGTGTCCCTTGCGGATACTCTGACCTTACAGCAGTTTGGAAGTGGGAATGGGGAATTGGGAGAAATGCTTATCCTTGGGTTTCGATTTCTTTCTTTTTTTTTTAAAGAGCCTTTAAACTGTAAGAGGGACAGTCTCCTGAAAGGGCATCTGGTCCTTTTTTGCAGGTGACATCGCTGACAAACATGTTAGAACATGGGGGGGGGGGGGGGGGGAGCAAGGAAAAGAAACAGAAACTAATTCTGGGGGTTACTAAGAGCTCCTCGCAGTTCAAAACGGCCTCCGATCCAAATCAGACGCCACTCCTTAACTAAGTTTCGCTCACACTCTATGAACCAAGACCGCCGGCTCCCCCTGCCCCCGCCCCGACCGTGAACTTGAAACTTTCTGGCCGTCTGACGGCCCCTTGGCCGTGGACCTCCTCCGGGCACGCAGGGCTCTGCGCCGGGGGAGCCTCGAGGCCAGCAGCCGGCAGGGCCAGTGCGTCGCTCCGCGGGCCCCATTCTCCCCGGAAAGGGGTCCCGTACCTGTCCAGCATCTGCTGCAGGGACTGGTCCGGCATCTTCGGCGGGGCCGAGGCACTCGGCCCTCCCTACCGGACCCGGGCAGGGCCGGGCCCAGGAACAATAGCACTGAGAGGCAGTGGAGGCTGAGTAGGCCTCAGTCCAGCGGCAGCCGCGAACCCGCCACCCGGCCTTCTGGAGCGGCGGCGCGAAACAGGCAGCGGCGGTGAGCGGTCTGCAGGCGCCTGGAGGGAGCTGTGGAGAACGAGGAGGAGGAGACTGGGGCAGGGGGGCGGCGATCGCGGCCAGGGCTCCTAGCCGTCGGCCCAAGGTTCCGGTCCATGGACGCCGGCGCCGAGTCGCTGGCGGCGGCTGCGGCGGAGCTACCTCTGTGAGGTAAGAGTCACCGCCTCCGTGCGCGCCGGGGTCACGACGCAGGGCGGCCCAGAGCAGCCTGGGAGATGTAGTCCTCGGACCGTCCCCGCTACGAGCTGCACAGCCCGCCCCGACCACCGCCGCCGCCGCCGCCGCCGCCGCCGCCGGGCCGGCGCCCTCCGGTTTCCTTCCTTAAGAGGCGGGGGGCGAAAATGTCTTTCGGGCCGCTTTCCAGGAAGCAGCAAGATGTGTCGCAACACTGTCAGTAGCAACAAGGTCAGCCTCCCTGCCTGTTTCTTTTCCCCCTCCCCGCACCTTTTCGCTCTCAGGTGGGACCGAGCCAGGTGAGAGATGGAAGCTGGAAGGGCCGTTCCTCGCCAGGGGCTCCCCCGGCGTCCGGGCGGGCGGTGGCGGGGGGTGCGAGCGGCCGAAGCCCCCTCTGTCGTCCTGGACGCTGAGGCCAGTGTCCTTGCTCTCTGAACACATTTTGGGGAGTTACACAATCCCTGCCAGGGGTCGGATGCTCTGGTGCGGGAGGTTATTTTGGGGGGTTAGTTCGTAGGGGCTGCTTTGTCCAGACGATTTCCCCTCGGGCCCTTGTGTTGGAGCAGGGGTGGGAATGAAACGATTATTCTGTCTGTCTGTCTCTTAAGGAACCTTCTAAAATGTGTCTGGGTTTTTAGGGCTTGCCGACAGTCTCCAAATGGAACATGTTGGTGAATAAACAGCTCTTGCTTACTCAGCTGTGGGTTGTCAGGGATGTTTGCTTCTCTCTGCTGCTGGCTAGTGTTAACCATTTCTGGTCACCTTGACACCCTTAAGCAGGTGGCTAGAGGAAATCAAAAAAGAGGAAAACATAAATCGCTCGTTGGATCATTTCTCCGGCGTTCTAGGAACAGCTTTGGCGAGAGGAAAGAGCTTTAGTTAAAAAGAATGCGTATTTTGGACGACCTGTGGCGTTCTCTAGGGCAGTGCTTTGAGACAACGCCTGGTAGATTTCCCTTGATTATACTTAATTTCTCCTGGAGGATGGTTTATTTTGCTTTATGTGAAAATGTGTTTTTTTTAAGCTTTTGCTTATGGAGACCTTTGCAGTCAGCTTTTAATTCTCTGTTCTAAGTCGAGTGAATATATTTGAGCTGGAGTGTGCACTGCCAGGAAAAAACCAAACAAACCCACAAAACCCAACTGTAAACCAAACCCACAAATAAAACACCTGGCCAGAGGTTTAGTTGGCCTCTAGTTTCTAAAATACACTTTTATCAAAGGCTTTGAGTGCATTTATAGAACTAATTATAATTCAGGGCCCACCTTTTTCTCATGAAATGAGAGACGAAAAAAAATTGAGTAATCTAATACTGTCTTAATATTTTAAACTCCTGTTCGTTGCTCGTTGTACTATCTAAACATTCCCTTATTGTGCATTTGTCTCTTAAGCAGTTGTCAGCCGCAAGAAGATGTGATATACACATCTGCTTAAAACCAGAATTTGCTGCTAGTATGTTGATTAGACTAATTCAGGTTCCACACAAGAGCCTCTGACAACAACAACAGTTCAAACTCCAGGCACACAGTTGGAATCCACCATCTCACTAGAAGAAAGATGGGCAGTCAACTCCCTGGCAATTCACAGCCTCTGAAAACTTGATAAAGGGTCAGCTTATGAGTCGGTTCTGACTCATGACACATAAAAACAGTTCAAACTCCATTTTGTGATTTACAGTAGAAGGAATTCTCAGTAAGAATATTTCTTCTAAGAGTATATTTTATATCTTTTATAAAAGACAGTTCTGTGATGCTATTCAAAACCCTTTAAAATAGGAGAAAAAAAAATCTGAGTTCTTCATCTAACAAGTAACTAATGCCTGGCCCAGCAATTCTACTCCTAGGTATTTCCAAAAGAAGTAAAAATATGTGTCCACACAGAGACTTGTTCATGAATGTCCATAGTAATATTTTTAATAGCAGCTCCAAAATGGAAATAGCCCAAATATCCATTAATTGAGAAATAAATACACCAAAAGGAATATGAATTTACAAGAGAAGATTGTTAGTCAATAAAGAATAAAATGGAAACATGGATGAATCTTGAAAACATTATGCTGAGAAAAAGAAGTCCGTTATGAAAGACTACATGTTTATTTCTATTTGTATGAAATATCAAGAGTAGGCAAATCCACAGAGACAAAGTAGTTTAGTGGTTGCCTAGGACTGGAGGAGTTGGGGGGAAATGAAAAATGACTGCTGATAAATACAGAATTTGGGGGGGAGTTAGAAAATGTCCAGAATTAGATAGTGATGATGGCTAAATAGGTTTGTGAATTTACAGTTATGAGTCACTTGATGGCCAGGATACATTCTGATTCTGTGAAAAAGGATGTTGTATAACTTGGATTTTGTAAAAACAGGAAGTCCTTAGATTATAAATGAAGTCCATTCCTGAGACTGTCACTTTTCAGTTGAATTTGTACACAATTTATGTGATTTGTATCTAATAGTCAGATAATTTGTCTTCATACTGTAGTTTACCTTTTTATACATGAAAAAAGTTAAACATTTCTAGATACACTAAAATATCCTTAACCTTATAATACAGTAATAATAAAAGTAATATTATGCATTTCACAAAGTAGCATCAGTTTATTATTATGAACCATTTTATGCACTTCAAGTTTTTACAGAAATTGGAATCAGGAATGAATGGGCAATTGGATATTGTCAGAATAGATTTTGTAAATTACACGACTGTACTGAAAACTACTTAATTGTGTTCCTTACAAGGGTGGAGATTATGGTATGTGAGTTATAGCTCAATTTAAAAAGTAAGAAATGATGCAAAATTTGATTATAGTGATGGTGGCACAATTCTAAATTTATTACAAGGAAGTACTGATTTAGGAGGAGGTTTTATAAGTCTGGTTTGATATAAGCTGAATATCTCTTTATTTTCTTTTAGTTTTCATTATTATTACCTTTTATTGTCCATATCTTTATAAATCATATCATTGAATATCTGCAAGTGAACATTTGCATATTATAACATCAGTAAATTTTGCACAACTGTAAGTACATATTACTAATAAGATGGACAAAACAAAAATACAGTGCGGTTCAAAATTCTTTAAATTCCTGAATTTTAAGTCTAATACTGTTTACATTTAAGATTAGTGAATTTTATTATTGTTGGTATGTGCTGTCAAGTCTCCTGGGACTTATAGTGAACCTATATATAGCAGCTCTGAACCCTGTTCTATCATGAGCCAATCTCATCATCTCCAATACACTCACCTCAGACACTCCGTCAAACCATCTCATCCAGGGTGTTTGAAAAAAACAACTCTTTTTAAAAAAAGTAATTTCCCATACTAAATATTCATGCGGGGCTCGAGAAAAAGTCATACTTTTTACTTTTAGAAGCCCCTGACTTATGACATTGTTCCATTCTGATGAGTCCACAGTAAGTCTGATGTAAGTTGAGTCTCTTATTTTTTTGTTTTCATATTATTCCTTGTTTTTATCGTTACTGCCTTTCATTATAAGTATCCTTATAAATTTGATTGTAATTTTCCTTTGAATGTTGGGATATATATACAGAGAGATTTTAGTATATAAATAAAAATGCACAAGTCATAACCATTAACTCGAATGATGAAGAATTGAATGATGTTTAAAAGTAGTATATTCATTTGTAGATGGCTCTAGATGATTTCTGTTATCCCAGAGAATGGCATTTCTAGTCATGAAATTAGTGAGAGTCTCTGTATGACCATACATACCTCCTCATGCCTGCATATATTTTGTAGTAACATCTCACTGCTCCCCAATTTTGCCTGTCAACTTTAGCAAATGATAGCCGTCTGAGTCCAAGCAGCTGAAGTCTCTGATTTCCTTTAGAAAAAAAAAAATCCATTCTGTAGGCCTACTGGATAGGGAATTATGCTCCCAGTCCAAGGGTGGTTCAAATTCATCAACTTCTCTGCAAGAGAAAGATGGGCAGTCTCATCCTGCATGATTTACAGCCTCTGAAAATCTGCTGGAGGGTCAGCTCTGAGTCTATTCTGACTGGATGGCAATAAGAGAGAAAGCCTTTCACTGTAAAACTGTTAACTTCTGTCCTTTATCTCCCTCATGATCTTCTTAAGCATTTTTTTTCTTTTCAAGCTTCATTAAGTCCTGTTAGGTCTTTAACCTCCTTCTTCATGACCTGTGAGCTGTTCCTCATCAATGATAGTAAATTATGTGCTACATTTCTGTAGTTCATATTATAATGATGTACCAACATTTAATAGCTTAAATTTGTTTTTCAGTTCTCTCAGCTTGAGAAATGCAGAGCAAATTCTTCCTTCTTATGCATCAATTCCAGCTCTCTGCACATTCCATTATAATACTTTGCTTTGTCTTCTCACGCTACTCTTGGAAATCTTCTGTTCAGCTCTTTTACTTTGGCATATTTTCCCTTTGTTTTGGCTTCTTGACTCTCCTAGTGCAAGTTTTAGAGTCTCTTCTGGCATCCATTTTGGGTTTTTTGTTCTCTTTTTGTAATGCTCTTTTGTTCTCTTCATGGATGATATCCTTGATACCATCCCATGACTCATCTGGTCTTAGATCACCGATGTTCACTGCTTCAAATTTATTCTTAAGATGACCTTGAAATTTAGATGGAATAGATTCAAGATCATATTATAACCAGATCATAACCTATTTGTTTAGGAGTATTTTATAAGCTTCCTAAAAACTGCCTATATTAGGCCATGGTCTTTGCAATCACTTGCTATACCTCAGAGAGCTGGACAATGACTAGAAATAATAGAAGGAGAATTGATGCCTTTAAGCTGTGGTGTTGGAGAAAAATATTGAATATAACATGGACTGCTAAGAGAATGAACAGGTTCATCCTGGAGAGGATTAAATCAGGCTGCTTCTTGGAGGAAAGGATTCTGAAGCTTTGTTTGACATACTTTGGATATGTTGCAAGAAGGGACCAATCCTTGGAGTGGGACGTCATACTTGGGAGAGTGGAGGTTACA